CCAAGGCATGCAAACATGATAAGTATAGCATGGTAGGGGCCTCAAGACTCAAGACTAGTCAAGGCATTTGCACTATAACTATGCAAAACATGAGTCACATGACCAAGGCAGCCCAAAAAATTCCTAAAAAGGCCCAAATGGAGTTCTAAACACATGCTTGAAATAAGCTAAGAATGGCTAGATTTAAAGGCCAAAACAATAGCACATGTTAGGCAATTTAGCACAATTGCACTACAAGTATACAAAGCATGCAAGAGGTGGCCAAACCAGCCAAAATCAGAGTTATGGCATGTCAAAATAACACCAAAAATAGGTTGATACTAAGCCAACACATGCTAGAATAACAAGCTAACTCATTAGGCATGCAAGGCTAGCAAAGAGGATTTACACTACAAGTGTAAGGAGCATGCAATAAGTGATCAAACCAACTAAAAACAGAGTTAAAACATGTTTAACAATGGCCAAAAATGTGCTGGAGTGGAGCGAAAACATGCTAAAATTATAGGCTAAAATAGCAAGCATACAAGGTTAGTGAGCAAGGTTTACACTACAAGTGTAAGGAGCATGCAAGGAGTGGCCAAGCCAGCCACAAATAGAGCTAAAACGTGTTAAAAAAAAGTCACAAAAACATGCTTAAACTAAGCCTCAAGAACGGAGAAATACATGCTCATTTGATAGGCCAACAACACATGCTAACAAGACAAGAGGAGGAGGGACCACCCCCTCCCATTTGGGACCTCAAAACCACATTTGTACCACTGAAAATCCACTGGATTTCAGTGGTTAAAAGGCCAAACAAAAGATGGTTTGAAAGGTGGTGAAAGATGGTTCAAAAGGCTTTATAAGCCAAGGAGCAAAAGGAAGGGAACACCCCCTAGCCAAACAAGGCTTAAACCACCACTTTGAGGACTGAAAAACAGAGCTTTTTTCAGTCCAAAACCAAGCCAAAAATAGTTTGAAAGGATGGCAAAACAAGCATGCAAAGTTGGCTAAGATAGTGTACAAAAATGAGCTTAAAAGAGGGAGATGCTTAGGTGCCGTGTGGTAACACTTACGTTTTCAGTTTTCTGTTTATATTTACAAAAATTTAAAAAACTCAAATAAAAACTTGTTTGGTAAAATTTTTGATTTATAAATCAGTGGTCTCAGTTTATAAATTTGGCTAAAAAATGAAAACACAAAAAATGTTTTTCCATTTTGAGGTTTCAGTTTTTTTTTTTTTTTATCACCCAACATTAGCCACCACCCGCCACCATTTTCCACCACCATCTTCCGCCACCACCACCCACCCTCCACCACCACCTGCCACCACCACTCACCACCCACCTGCTACCACCAGCTACCACCCACCACCAACACCCACCAGTCACCACCCACCTGCTACCCACTCGCCACCACCACCCACTACTTACCACCACTACCCACCTGCCATCCACCCGCCACCACACACCACCCGCCACTACCATGCATCCGCCCGCCACCACCACTAACCACCCACCTGCCACCCGTAATTAGTGGGACATCTCTCTTTGCAGAGTGCAAAGAATTGTTCCTCCGTTTTTGCTTCTGCAAGTATTCCCTGCCAGAGTTCGTTTCCATTCTTTGAAGGACTTTTTCCTTCGATGAAAATTCTCCCCATTCTACGAAGTCGCCCCCTTTCTGTATATACTGTCGACTTGCTGTTGGAGAATGGAGTTTTTCTATATTTGGATGATAGATCCTCTCGTTGGTTCCCGTGAGATCGAAAAATCTTGGGTTGGAGGTTTAGATCTTCTTCGTGCATTAAACCATGGCAAGAAGGTGAGGGTTTCCATTTTCGTAGAGCTCCCTTACGACAAGTATGTAGTATGGCTGACATGCTACTTAGAAAAGGGATTGAAGGAGTTCCAAGAGTTGTTCTTTTGGACAAAGGCATTGTGGGTCGGTGAGGAAAACATTCTTGGCATAGAAATGGAAAGAGGGTTGGCGAGGCATTTTTGTAGTAGTAAACAATTAACTCACACCAGCCATACAAGGCCTCCCTATTAGTTAAAAAACCCGGTGTGAATGGTGTGAGTGGTGTGACTAGGGGGCCCCAACATGCCACCGCCACCACCCCCTCCCCCCTCCCCCCCCCCACCCCCTGCCACCACCACTCACCACCCACTTACCACCACCAACCACCACCCGCCGCCGCCACCACCCACTCACTACCACCCATCACCCGTCACCGTCACCCACACACCCACCATCACCACCCACCCGCTACCACCCACCACCACCAGCTACCCACCACCCACCGTCACCACTTTCCACCACCGTCTTCCGCCGCCACTTGCCACCACTTGCCATTTCTCACTCTTTTTTATATTTTAAATTTTTTTTAAACATTTTTTCAATTACCAAACGTGTTTGCAGTTTATGTTTTTCTAAAAATAAACAAAAAATAAACAAAAGTCAGTTTATAAAATTTTTGTAAATTTAAACTGAAAACGTAAGCGTTACCAAACACAACCTTACCCTTGAAACACATCTGTAAAATAGCCAAAATTCTGAGCTAAAACCACGTTAGGAGCTCCAAATGATCCTCAAAGATCCTCAGCCCAATGGTGGTTGAGTTTGGTTAAGGGTCTCTTTGCAAAAGTGTAGAGAATTCTAAGCTTAAGGCTCAAAAACAAGAGGAGAATGAGGCTTCTAGAGGGAGGGGGCAGGAATTTTGCTCACAAAATTATAGAAAGAGAGAGACTTTTTAAAGAAAGAGACTCCCCAAAACTTTCTAACCCTTCAATCTATGAGATATCGCTTAATATATAGCAATATATGAGCATTTGGTCGAAATATCTGATGCAATGCACAACAGCTGGAGAGGAAAAATCTAGGAATCCAGGGATTTCTGGGAATTTATGGTCGACCGAGCACTTCAACTGGTCGATCAGCTTTTTCTGGTCTGGAAGGATCATTTCTGGTCGACATATGGTTGGCATGCTCAAAAAGTGGTCAACACACTTCCTTGGTGGTCTGCAACAAAAATTAGTCTTGGTCCCCGACTTAAAGCAAGCCTAACTCCTTCATCTGGATGCCTTTTCAGGTCATTCTTGTGTGTAAATTGAAGCCTCGAAAGTAAGCTTTCCAAAGGTGGCATCCTTGCATCAAAATTCGAAGTGTGCTAAGAGATATCCCTCTTTTAGTGAAGACTGCTCAGTTTTGGTCCAACTGGATTGATGCCTAATTTCAACCAACTATATCTCCCTCGTCTGGACTCAGCTTCAAGAGATTCTTGAGTGCAAAATGAAGCCCCGGAAGTAAGAATTCCAACGGTGGTGGCCTCATAGCTGAAATCCAAGTATTCAAAATGATAGGCCTGATTTAGCGAGGGATGCTCGACTCTCTCTTAACGGTTCATGCCCATATTCTTCTCCAACTTGGTTTCTTTCCTCTTCTCCTCTTTTCTTCAGCTCCAAATCCCCAAACAAGATGTTTTTGAAGATTTTTTTGAAGAGTTCACCTCTCTTTTCATTCATTCCTACTTTGTCCCTACTCAGCTTACCGAAAAGCGCAACATTTACCAAAATACGAGCATCGAAACATTGTAGGAACTTTGTTTCAAAAATATTTTGAATAGAGGGTTTTAAGGTCTAAAATCTTTGGTCAAAATAGTTTTGGTCCGAAAATGGGGTATGAGGTTTGGATTTGACTCTTTCCTTGCCAAAGAAACCGAACATTTGCACTGCACAACTTTCAACACCAAGTAAACCATCGGTAACACCCAAGTCTTAAGGGCTGTCAAAAATGGGGTGTCTACACACATGTGTTTTCAAAAACAATATATTATGTTTAGTAGAGGCCAATCCTTTGATCAGGCGAGCGGGGGTGCTCATTTCATGACCTTCCCCCTTCGTACCCAAGTTCCCGAGCCGAGACAACTTTGGTAATGACGGACACGTGGCCTTAGGCACGAGTCAGGGTTTCCTAAATTTCTCAAAATAAAATATTTAGGTGGCAACTCTGAAATCATGCAAAGCAGTCCATGTTTGGCGCTTTTTGATTAAAATTGATTTTCTAAAACGATTTGCCAGATTTGGACTATTTGGTGATTTATCAATCTTACATTGCACTTTGTGAGATTAGATTCAGAACTGTGACAGGAGTCCGAACTGTAGTAGCTAGAACCCAATTCACGCCCTCTCCGAAAGGGAGGCCGCCCACAGAGAGTTCCGGGCGGTCTACAAGGGGAGGAGGGGGGGCCAATTACAAAGGTTGTCCCTATACTTTGGCTTTTGTGTCATTTTAGTCTTTGTAATTTCAATTGACTTGATTTTGATCATGAATTTATTATTTTATCTCAATTTGGTCTAATTAATTATAACTCTGAGCATATTTTTATAAAAAAATATGCACATAAGGCTCCTGGGCCAGATGGGTTTAATATGGCCTGCATTCAAAAGTGCTGGAAGATAATGAAGAGTAAGTTTCTACAATTCATGAATGAATTCCATGAAAATGGGAAGCTGGTCTTAGGTCTGAATTGTTCTTTTATTACTTTGATAGCAAAGAAAGAGAATCTAAGTGGTTTAGGTGATTACAGACCAATTAGCTTAGTTCATTCAGTTTATAAAGTTCTAGCTAAAGTGTTGTCTAGAAGATTAAAGAAGGTAATGCCAGCAATTATTAGTGATGTCCAGACAACATTTTTAGGGGGGAGATTCATCCTAGATGGAGTATTGATTGCTAATGAAGTGGCGGATTGATGGAAATCATCTAAAAGAAAAGGAATCATTCTAAAATTGGACTTTAAAAAGGCTTATGATTTAGTAAATTAGGAGTGTCTTCTTTCAATGATGAAGAATTTTGGCTTTGAGGAAAATTGGGTGAGGTGGATCAAAACATGCATATCTTCAATTAAGCTCTCTGTATTGGTTAATTGATCTCCATCTGTTGAGTTTACTCCCCAAAAAAGGCTTAGGCGGCAGGGAGACCCATTATCACTATTCTTGTTCAACATTGTTGCTAAAGGTTTAAATATGTTGATTGAGAGAGCAAAGGAGTTGAATTATTTAAAAGGTGCAAGAGTTAGGCCGAATGAGTTGAAGTTTTCTCACTTGCAATTTGCAGATGATACTATTATTTTCTGTGAAGCTGACAAGGTGGAATTGGTCAATATAAAGAAAATCTTAAGGTGCTTTGAGTTAATGTCTAGTTTAAAAATTAATTTCCACAAGAGTGTAGTGTGTGGGGTTGGTGTTAATAATGAGGAAATTAAGGATTATGTCTCAATTTTGCACTGCCATAGTCAAAAACTTTCCATTACTTATTTGGGCATACCTCTTTGGGGCCAATCCAAGAAGAAAGAGCACTTGGAAATCAGTGATCAAAAAGTAAAGAAAAAATTGGCTTCATGGAAAAGGAAATTGCTTTCCCTTCCAGGTAGATTAACACTAGTTAGGGTAGTTCTCTCAAGTTTACCATCATACTTCCTATCATTTTCAAGCTACCTGTGGGTGTGGCTAAATAGTTAGACAGCATTCAGGTAACATTTTTGTGGGGTGATTCTGAAACAAAGAAGAAAATTCACATGGTTAATTGGAAGGAGTTATTAGCAAACATTAATCAAGGGGGATTGGGGGTTCGAAATCTAAGAGAAGTTAATGACTGTCATTTGCTAAAATGGTTTTAGAGGTTTGGGAAAGAGGATAAAGCTCTGTCGAAACATATTGTGTGTAGTAAGTATGGTGTGGTTAGGGGCAGTTGGGTTCCAATTAATTTAGATAATGTTTCAGTTTCCATGATTTGGGGTGATATCCTTCATCTTGTTGAACAAAGACCTGCTCTTGTTGAATTTTATTTATCAAATCTTAAATAAACAGTGGGCAATATGAGTAGAATTCATTTTTGGGATGACAAGTGGTTGAACAATATATATCTAAAGGAGGAATTTCGTAGATTATATAGCTTATCAGAGGAGAAATATAGCACTCTGTAGTAGATTTACCAAAGGAGGGGTCAATCAAATGATTGGAATTTATTTTTCTGATCATTGTTAGTATGGAAGGAAGATGAGGTCCTATGGCTGTATGAATTGCTTTGGAAAGCACCTAGTCTTTCTATGGAGTCTGAGGATTCGTGTAAATGGGCGGGCAATTCAGAAGGATCATTCACAGTAGTAGCAGCATGGAAGTGGTGGATGTTTTCAAAAAGTCCTACTGTCAGTGTTACTAAGGAACTATGGAACAATGTTGCTCCACCCATGGTAAAATTTTGTGGGTGGTTAGCATAGAGAGGTAGAGTTAAAACAGCAGCTGTCTTAAAGAGTTTTGGAGTGTTAAATGGGGAATTAAATGCATTGTGCTTGTTCTGTAAAACAGATGAGGAGTCAGTTCATCATCTTATGTTGTTTTTCCCATTAGGTTGGAAATTATGGACTAATATGATGAAGTGGTCGGAGCTGGTGCGGGTTTTGCTTGGTTCAATTGATAATTTATTGTTGTGGTGGTCAGGAATCAAATTCAGTGAGGTAGTTCTAAGAATGTGGAAAGTGGTACCTTTAGCAATTATGTAGTCATTATGGAAAGCAAGGAATGAATATCTCTTTAGTGGCAAATCAGTTGATTGGAATGAATTATCAGAATTGGTGAAAGTAAGGGGTAGCACTTTGGAGTATATCGAATGTTAAAGGGATGCAGCATTCAGTGCAGGAGATAGTTATTAATCTTGAACAGATCAAGGCTTGTGTTTGTAGAAGAAGGTTGCTTCTAGGTTGATGTCAAGTGGTTATGCTAGCTATTGGTTGGGGGCCTTGGCTGTTATTGCTGTTCTGGGTATGTTTGTGTTGATATTGCTATCGGTAGAAGAGCTAGAGAGCTTCTTAATGTCTATTCAATTTATCAAGGCCAGTAGCAAGGTCTGATCTGGATGAGTTGGTATAGGCCACTGCAGTGTTGGTCTCAAGTGTGTTGATCTTGCTATGGGTAGTTTTGCTCTGTTGATGGCCATGTTTGTGAGGGATTGCTGCTGCTTTGATTCAGGTTTTGTAAGTCTTGCTCTGTTGTCAGTTTGCTCTGCTGCTGGCCCTGGTTTTGTGGGGTTGTTGCTGCTTTGGTTCAGGTTCTGTATGGGTAGCAGCTGGCTATAAGTCTTGGTACAAGTTCTATTTTCCTGGACTGTTATGCTAGTCTTAGGCAGCTTCTGTTATGCATGTCCTGTTTCAAGTTCTATTTTGATTGGACTGCTATGTTGATATGTTTGGGCTACCTTACTGTGCAAACGGTGGTGTGGTGGTGGTTCTTTTGTTTCTTTGGTTGGTTACTCATCAACTTTGGGAGTGATAGCAAATGATAGAATGAGCTTTTTGATGCTAACTTAGTTGGAATGATAGCTCATAGTGATACTTTTACACTTCTCTTTCTTTATTGATGTAATTGGTTTTGTACCTTGTACTTTGCTTCATCATCAATAAAGTTTTTTTTTTTTTTTGTTTGCTGATAAAAAAAAAAAGTATTATATGTCATATTTTGAAGGATAAAATTATAAATGTACTAAACTCAATGAGTTAACCTCAACCAATATAATGATAATTTTCTATAGTAAAAAAAAAAAGCACTAAAATATTATCAATTAGACCAAATTGATACAGAATTTAAAATTATGAGTCAAAATTGAACCAATTGAAAGTATATGAATCAAAATAACACAAGAAATAAAATATAGAAACTAGTAGTGTAATTTGTCATTTTTCTTTTTTTTTTCCTTTTTTTTTTTTTTGGGACAATTCAATAGGCTATAATTATCGAATCAAATCAATTTTTATGTGAATAATGTATACAAAGGATCATATAAAATGAACAATTTATATTATTAAAATAAAACTAATAGTGAGTCTTATGAACCAAGACGACAACATCAATTCAGATCACAGACAGGAGAAAAGCTACCAACATAGAAAAGTGATAAATTAGTATTTAAACTAACAAAAATAAATTGAGTTACCACATGGCCTTGCTCTAATAGGGCTAAATAATATTCCCAATACAAGTGTACTCTGTTTTAAAGGGTGAAGTGGGTCAACTGTTCTGCGTGGTCTACTTATCAGCATGAACAGAAAAGGATCTAGGTTAATATGGTGATAGGTGCTTAATTAGATAAGTTTTCAACATTTACACTTTATTGCAAATTGCATAACTAGACCTCGCCGCTTTGCATTATTCCCAGACGTGCTTAAATCATGCCCCTCCAACTTTGGTCCAAAAAAAAAAAAAAAGCTGAACCCAAATAATAATAATAATAATAAATAATAGAAAACCGCACCGCCCCCTTAAAAAACAGAAACAAACAATGAAAACCCCACCACCCCGTACATCATTATGTACAAAATGCAATAACTTCTTCTTTGTTTTGTATTGAAGAGAACCTTACCTTCCAGCCTCTTTGACAAATTTAATCCCATCTTCTTTGTTAAAACTCAAATTCTTCCATTTTCTTTCTATTATTATCAATTTTTTGAACAAGTTTAAGGGGATTGAAGGCTTAAAAAATTTAGATCTGAGCCTATCCATGGAAGATTGTTCATCCCCTCAATACCTTGGGTTTGATTTCTTGCCTCAGTCTCCATTCTCATCCTGGTATGAGCCTGAGGAACTTTTTCATACCAAATCTCTTTCGTGTGAAGAAAATCCATTGGATGAGAATTTTCCTGAGAAAGTGAAGGAAAAATCTTTGGAAACAGATTCCTGCAAGGGGTTTAATGATAAAGAAGACTTTACTTCAAAGGCGAAAAAAGCGGCAGGAAAGGAAAAGAGGTACATAGGGGTAAGAAATCGGCCATGGGGAAAGTATGCTGCTGAGATACGTGATTCGACAAGGCAAGGAGCGCGTGTATGGCTTGGAACATTTACTACTGCAGAGGAGGCTGCTTTGGCTTATGACCAAGCTGCATTTGTGATGCGAGGCCCATTGGCTCGCCTCAACTTTCCTACTGAAAGAGTACGCGAATCGCTTCATCAGAATGGTGGTGAGTCCTCCTCTTCCTCCTCCAACTGCACCTGCACCTCCTCTTCATCTCCAGCTGCGGCACTGAAAGAGAGAAACAAGATGAGAATGAAGTTGCTGACAAGTAGGAGGAGGAGGAATAATGAAAAAGAAGGAATAGTAGTGAAGCCTGGAGCAAATATGTCAATATTTGAATTTGAGGATCTAGGAGCTGAACTCTTAGATGAGCTCTTAAGCTCATCTGAGAGAGCTTCTCATAGTACTTGATTCAATTTACACCATTTTCATCACCCTCTCTATTATGTACTTTCATATCTTGCTCATCATCTATATGAATTTTGGATATTCACATTCATGATTGATTATTTACTCTCTCATCTACCTAAAATATTTCCTTTCAAAGCACTTCCACTATTTCCCTTTCTTGTGATTTTTACATAAAAGGCAAAATAGTTTTTAATATTGATTTAGCACTACTTAAGTAACAAAAATTTATAAAATTACATTAGGTTTTGTAAATCTAAAGTGCCCATTCCTGAGTTTAATGCATTCTCAGTGCTCTCTCATTCAGAGAAACTATCTAAAATGGACAATCTGTTTGATGTTTTCCATTTAATCCACATCCCTCCAAAGTTCAAGTGAAGGAGAATTAGAGAAACACACCATGTTATACCTAATTGTGACCCTTTTTATCAAACATAAGTTATCTTTATCTTTAGACTTTGATGACCTTCTTGTGAAGAAAAACCTTTAATTTTAAGCCCTCCTTACAACCAAAAATTGGGACATTTAACTGCATAAATGAAATTTTTGTAGAGAATACAATGCTATGAATTTCCATTAATGCAGAGAAGGGGAAAGCTTGTTTGGTTTAAGAACATGGCAAGTGTTTGAGGTGAAATTGTGTCCAACAAAAAGAAAATCCATCTAGATTACTAAATTTTTAGTTTTCAACTATTCTGGAAAAATCAAAATATCTTCTATAAATTGCAAATTTCTCATAAGATCTGAAAGGAAATGACCAGTATCTAATCATTCAAAGTACTTTCTATGTTATTCTTCATCCTTTTTAATCGCCTCTATTCTTCTTCTTCTTCTTGTTATTTATCTTCCTGGTTTATTTATTTATTACTTTCATCACAAAATTTCTTTTCTTTGTGTTTATGTATAGAGTAGTTGTTGATAATGACATTTTATAATACTTTAATTTGTTAGAATTTTTTGCATGCTCTGATATGATTGTTGAATTTTTTTAATTGTATCTAAATGTTTCTTTCAACGAAATTTGTTGATCTTTTCACTTCTCCCAGGTTTGAGGATTTCTTTCACATCTTATTACTTAGGGGCCTATAACTTTCTCACCTGCAGGGGGTTTTCAATTTTCTTCTCATACATTAAATTAACTCTAGACTCACTTTTGTACTTCGAAAGACCTTCACTCTGATACATTTCTAAATCTTTTTTTTTTTTTTTTTCATGAAAGATTTTGAAATCACTTTTCCCAACACCGCTATCAATTAATGTGAAATTTTTATTTTCTAAAGATGTCAAAATTTCTTAAACTCTGTAAAAACGTAGGTTAAATGCTTTTCAGTCTTGAACTTGAAATCTTCTTAATTTCTATTGCTCTTGATAGCAACAATCTTTTTGGCTATTTCTATGGATATGCTTGGCTTCAATTTGTTTTCTTGCATTTGAATTCTTCTTCACACGAGCTTGTGGTAGATCTTCATTTATTTATTTTGCTTCTTAATTTCTTTTTACTTGATCAGGTGGATAAAAAAACATGCTATATGCTACCCAAGCTGTATAAAAAATGAAAGTCTCCACATCAAAGTGAATATTTGAAGTTTTCAGATTTTCGTCACTCTTGCTCTTATACATATATGCTTGCCCACCATTTTCTAGAGAGGCCATTCTTCTTTTTCATTTTTTGTTTTTATTTTTTGGTTAGTGAGGAATCATTCTTTCTTATCAATTGGATCTTGTTTCTGGCCAATATTTACAAAAATTGCAATTTCATGCTTTTCAAATTTTACTTCAACTTTTGACTTTTGCAATTTTTTCTTCCTTTCCATCCCCAACATTTTCATCCACTTCATTCCTTCATCCCCCACCCCCCAAAACTTCTCTTCGTTCTATTCATTTACAAGTTCATCTTCTTTTCCATTTTCACTAACATCTCTACAAAATTTGGAAAAAGTTTCTAAAAATTGCTTCTCACGAAGTTCTTTATTTTTGTTTTGTTAATACCTGATTTGGAGATTTCACAACTTCAACATGTTTCCAAACTATTCTTTTTGTATTGCCTTCTTTAGTATCTTCATTGCTATAGTTCATTTTTCCTCTCTAGAATTTTGCTTAACTTGCAACTCTTTGGACTTATCAGTACACCATAAATTGCAAGCTTAAAGATACGTGCGAGTTTTAGCACTTCACAAATTGTAATTGAAAAACACCAAATTGCACAACATGTGTGCCGTGATCAATCAGAAACGATTCATCATTTTTATTTTATTTTATTTTATTGGATCATTTACCTTTTTTGTCCCAAGACAAAGTTGATTCTTGTCTAGTTGTTGCTCTCTTTTTCTTTTGTGCCTAGTTTATGAATGCTACCCACCCTAATACCATGTTGGAAGTTCAGGCAAACTATATCGCCATTATTTGAAAATTTTCTATTCTACTTGAATGTTTCATACAAATTTGGCTGAGTTTTTCGCTTCTACATTCGCAGGGAGGATTTCTTTCGCATCCACTTTGGGCTTTTCTTTACCTCACTCCTGCAAGCTTTCTCAACCCATGAAACATTCATATATACACTATAAATTACCCTTAATATCTCAACTATTGATGCACTGTCATCTAGAAATTAAACATACTTTATGCTAGTAGTCCTAACTGAAATATGACAACAAGACTTTTACTATCCACTTTTAAAATAATTTTAATTTTTTAATTTGTTATGTTTCGAGCTAAAATGCCTATCCTTTTAGGTTCTTCTTTTAAGTTTCTTTGTTTATTTATTATTTTATGATCATTAAATTTGGAGTAATAATATACAAACAAAAGTGTTGTATAAAATTTTCAAACAAAATGATATGACTTTTTTGTGATCTCTTTATTTTCAATCAGAATGCCTACTATTATTTTTATAATTTTAAAAATAATAGGATAATGCACCGATAAATCCCAAAATAGAATCATTTGCACTATTTAGTCCTGTGTTTAATTTTATGAACCGATAAGTCCCATTTGGTAGGTATGGACAGTTTTGGACATGATGTTAGCGTGTGTTCCCTCATTTGTTCTGGGGTAATATTGGGATTGTGCAATGTTAAATTGACAAATGTCCCCAAAAAGTGTACTGTAGCTTTTTTTGTTTTTTCCTCCTATGCGATCATCACGGAAGAGATGAACACGGTAACATTTAGAATGGCAACGTAAATCCGGTGAGGATTGGTGTGTGTGCTAATTTTTTAGTTTGTAATGTTGAACCCCTATTCGTTGTTTCCAATTCGAACGTTGTTTCTACTTCCAACATTCATTTGGCCATAGGTACATAGCAACAAAATTGGGCCTCCATACCTGCAAAATGAAAACAAAAAAACAAACAGAGCTTTCCCCTCCTCCCAGATCCTCCATTAAAGAATAAATGAAACAAAAACACAATACACCACAACATGCCAACATCCCACAAAATCATCAACCCAAACCCCCCAACAAAAAATAACCACTCTTGCTAAACACAACAACCCAGACTAATGTCAAAAATCGCCTCCGATCACTGCCGGTACCAAAAAACTACAGCAAAACCACAGACTTTCAAACAGTAAGACACGATTTCAATGTTGCAAGAAACCCACATCAACAAATGAAATTTCCTACATCGTAAATCACTGTAAAAAACACACAGAAAAAGTGACAATGTAAAAACGTTACCCCCTCCTCCCCTAAACACACATCCAACACATCAGCAAAGTAGAATCCACCCTAATCCCATTAAAAGGGTAAATAGGTAAACCCTCACTAGAACAAATCAAAAGGAAATATTCCTTGCTAGCTAAGTAAGACCAAATGGTTTATAAGAAAAAACACAGGGCTAAATGGAGCAACATTCCCTCAATTGGGATTTACTGGTAATTTTCCAAAATATTATTGACACATCAATTTAAATTTACTTTTGTATATACATTATTTTTTTTATTTTGTAAATTATTTTCTCAAATTTGCTTGTGATAGATTTGTCATTTAGGACAATAATGTCCATATTTATATATGCTAGTGTAAATACCTAATATTATGATCTGAAAGTATATACCTTAGGGGTATTTGGAGCAACTGTTAAAATATATTAAAGATTATAATTTAACAGATTATAAATTATAGCTTTAATCAGAAGTTGTTAATTTGTTTGGTGCAGTTACTCGATTATAAATTTAAGTTGCTGAGTAATGTTTTGTAAATAAGCTGTAAAATAACTTTTTGATGTGTAAATGTCATCTTTACCCCTGTTAATTGTAATTTCATTGAACATTTGTTAGTTGTAAATTGAAATAACTTTTACTTTTGCGTTATTTACTACTATTGCACATTTCTCATAAGTAAAAAAATAATTAATCCATAGTCCATTTGTGTATTTTTTTTATTTTCAAAATAAAAATAAAAATTAAAGGTACAATCATAAGTTAACATGCTCACAACAGAAGTTGAAACTAAAGGTGCAATTGTAAGTTAGAATGCTCATAACAGAAGCTGATAATCAGAAGTAGGGGGTGAGCAGTTTCTCAGAATCAATTTTTTTGAGTTAAAATAAGTTACTAGAATAAAAAACTATTTAAAATAAATTTAACTGAACAGTCTAAAATAATTTTTCCAAAATTAAAATCTATTAGTTCGTCAAAATAATCTATACCAAACGCCCGCTTGTCCCATACGTCCCACTACCAATTTCATTTTGTTCCCACTAAACAATTTATTTGTTTTTGCTACTTTTACAATATATATAACTTGTAGGGGAAATTACCAAGAACAAAAAATATAAAAATAAAAATAAAAAATTAAACTCCATGTTTTGACTCTGTAACAAATTAAATTGAGTTTTTATTTTTTAAAATAACTCACACATGCTTATTATGTATGGCAAAGTATATATTGGTGAAAAATATGTATAATTTTCCTCACTTGCCTTCATTTTGTAGTTACATATTTGTCATATGATTGAATTTTGTTAAAAACTTCAATAATGGAGTAATAGAAAGGGGGATATCGATATTTGACGAGAAATACAAGAGATTGACTATTATGATTTTACGTGTGAGGATTAAAGTGAGATTTATTGCAAAGTGTAAAGGTGTAAATTATAATTTTTCCCAATTAAAAATTTTC